CACACACACACACACACACACACACACACACACGTCTGTTTCCTACACTCTCTTTCCCTCTTTCTGGTATAAACAATGTACATGCTAGCAAGATATATTATGCTGTATGTGTATGAGTGATATAGATTCTATGCTATTGTTATACATATCTATTTTTTTTTTCGCGTTCCATTCATGCGACGCTGCTCAAAAGTGAATATCGCACGGGTCGATCGTCCCGTTTCGCTCTTTTTACGGCCAAGATTAGGGAAAATGCTGTATTAATGACGACTACAGATTTTAATCCTTGAACTTGTTAATCCTCGGCCAGCAGCATCGCCAATTGCGTAAATCATCCTTCGTTACGATTCCCTTAGTCTCATCCTGCCGATATAATTTTCTACCCTCTCCCTCCCTTATAGTAACCACACTTGCTGCTATTCATTTTCTCAAGAATGACTAATGTGCAGACAATGCACACTCGTCAAATATATCAATACCTTATCGTATAATACATTACATTTACATATCGATTGTGTGTAAGGATGTATCCAGGTAGAGGATATAGCGATAAAATGTAAATTGCAGGTAGCTTTCTTTATATATCTTCAATCTCTGTTCTCTATGTATCACAGCCTGGGCCGCGCCACTGCCTATCTCTCACAATGATATATTCATTCTTATTTTTATTCCTTTCCTTGCTCCTTCCTTTGAAGCGTGCGTGACTCTGCGCGTATTTTCAATGTGCGAGGCCTTTCCTGTTCCTCGTTTCCAAATCGGTCCCACGCGATTCTCATAGGTTAGGTCTAATCGCGACATAAATATTTACGATTTTGTGAACAAAAGAAAGTATTGGTACGAATCAACGACTGTTTCAATTTAAATAGTCTTGAATAGACGAGTATTACAAAAATTACTTCGAACAAAAATACATGGAACTATGAAGATCGATAATTCCATGAATCGTATAGATACGTCGTGTACATCTTATGCCATAGATCTTTGGTAGCATAGAGCTTCAATTCTTTAAATCTTATTGTGTGTCTATGGTACTATACAGATCTTTCTCGCATCAAACTCTCTCTTATCACAAGTATTCAATCATATGTATTTTCATCAGCACATTGTTCTCAGATGTATTTTATTATTTATTATTTCCACAAATTCCCAACTTTCTTTTTTCACAGTATTATATACATAAATCTAAATCTATAAAGAATAAACATTTTCTGTGCGTCACACATAAGTTACATGCGAATAGCGCGGGGCCGGTCTGTCTCACGCTTGTCTAACAAGCCATATAAAGATCGATCAATCTAGGGTGACACCTAGAGATGGTCGATCGAGAGAAAGAACAAATGATCGAAATGAATCTAAAAACAGCACTGATACAATATGTTGACTTGCTATGTTGAGGCAGTGGCATAATGGTGCACTAGTATAAGAATTACGCAGGCCGTTTTCCACGTCCGTGCGTCCATCGACACCGTCGTTGCTGTTGCTGCTACCGCGACGTCAGATGATTTATTCAGCCGACCGGCGCAATCGCCGTTGATCGGCGACTGAGAAACTAGGGCACCACGTCCCAGATTTCGGCGAGGAAAAGTGGCAGCTTCTTGTTCTTAAATTTCAGGTTCAAGCACATTTCACTGTTTTGATTGCCAAGGGTTCTGAGTTCGGTTAAAACTGATAAAAGTTTAGCGAAGATCGTACAGGATTTCGGTCGACGACGATTATCCACATATGCTTTTAATGTCTTCAAATAAATCTCCTGAAGCTTCTCCACCTTTCTGCTTTCCAACAAATTGGGTCTCTCTGCAAAGTAATAATTATTAGATTTAAATAAAAATATCCAAATGATAAAAACAGAAATTGATATTAATAATTAATAAAATTGTATCTGGTTCCTTATCCAAATCAAAATTTATCTATTTAAATTATTCATTATATTCATTATTTGTTATTATTTTTATCTCTCCAGGCGACTATAAAAATTATAGAAAAGGGAATTTAGCTTATTGACACATATTATCACGTGACGTTTTAAAATATTTTAGCCATCGCTCTTTATAAAAAGTTATTAACAAATTCGTTAAATGTAAATTAAGTAAAAATGCGTAGAATTTCTCAATTTGGAATTAGAATTAAGTTAAGCTAGAAAATGTTGAATTCATTGAGAAACTACAGATATACATATTTAAAATTAGAAATGTTTTAAAACGATATAAAAGAACTGTTCAAAACCTATTTTTAAGGTTTATCTACTGCTTTGGAGTAAAAAATGCGATTGAATAATAATGTCATTACAGCGATTCCGAATTATATGCAATATTAGTATAATTAATTGTGGGTGCTAGTTATGTGCTCTATTCTTCGTAAATTATTAGTATATAGAATATTAACAAATATATGCCGAAGTACGAGAGCGTTAACGACTCGGGAATCATTGTCAGGTACTTATTATCCAACATTATAAAAGAAAAAAAAAATCACAAATAATTTATAAAAACCTATAACAATTGTGTCAGAGAATACTAAAGACTTAAAATGATTAATACATTGATGATTGCGTGTCATGGATTCATGATTAGTGGTTATATAAACACTATTTGTGAGGTTGGGTTCGCATGTTGCGTTGCCAATGTCAACGTCTGTCATTACTAATCCACGAGGTAAAAGTAAACTTTGTGACAATAAAGTTTTAAATCCACATGGTAAAATCCTATTTTTAAAGTTCTTGTGCAATACTTGTTTCATCTGTCAAATGCTAGTTTTTTGAAGTCCTAAATTGGCTAAATGTGTACTAAATCAATGATTATTTACCTCAGAGCGACCGTTTCTCATGAGGCGATGGGCTCAAAGTGGTCAACTTCTGAATAATATTACAAAAAAAAAACTATACGGTCAATATTGCTCAACTTTTGGGATTATTTGATGTGTAAAGTGTTTATGTAAATCATATAAAAACTTAAGACTCTAGGTTGACTTTCAACTAATAGGCGAACCTCTTTAATATCTGCAATATTTTTATTACTTATCTAATATCACGAACAATCACGAACAAAATATCACGATAAGTATATTTTTTCGCAATGACAATGATAAATGTTATACATTATTTTACTCGTAGGTGCGTATCGAAAGTGTGTACGAATAGAAAATCTTTTATTGTAATATATAAAAAAACTAATAAGCAGCAGATTTGCGAAACGGATTTTTGAGCTATTAAAAAATTTTTATAAAGGGTTTCCTAAAAATTGCTGTTGTAAATGTAATATGTTACGTGTAAAAACGGATCTTTCTTCTCTAAGGCATGATATTTGTAATTAAACTATGAAGACTATTAAAAATGAAATTTATATCACTGATATTTTATACGATCGTTACACGAGTGTCATTCAACAATACATTTAGAACCTTTGACTTAAAAATGTAAATAAATTCTAGTTATCGTATGACTGATTACAAAATCATCCAAAATTCTTTTGTGGAGACACACTTTTGTATGGTGAGATTGTATTGATACTTATCAAATAACCAAAAAAATTCATGCGGTATTTTACACTAAAAATAAAACTCTTGAAGAAATTTATGCAATGAACCATCGTACCATCAACTGATGTACATTGATCGAAGTTAATATGTATCTTGTAATGCAAGTTGAAATCTGTGTCAACTATTACAATATAAAACAATTTATAGAAGAGCTATCTAAATTAAGAACAGCATTTTTTGATTCCCGATATTATTTGACGCAAAACGCTACTGTGTGTTTTTTAATACATACCAGAAAAGATGACAATAGCTGTGAGCAAAGCATATTCAGCATTATTGACCCTCATAGCGTACATTTGCCGGCAGAATCGTAAAAGGTCTTCGATGGTATCTCCCATTCCAGCGACGCTATAACTGTCACGCGTGTATGATTGATTGTTAGCAAAAATGATGCTATCGCTTTGCACGTCGTACTTTCTTGCCATCCGTAGCATCATCACTTCACTGGAGCACGCCTTTAACAGAGTGATTTGATCTTCACGTAACAGCTCGTTAAAGCCGGGTAATCTCTTCGAAAACTCGACGATCAACTGAACAGTCAGAATCGTGATTTCGGTGATGTGTCTGAAACTATAATCACTCGGAGACTCGCCTTCCATTGGTTGATTCTGAAAGACAAGAGGCAGTTATATAAAAAATATTAAAATTTACTAAAAAATAATATATGGATAATCTCCAAATCGTAAAAACAATGATCTGTTTCCTGTTTTTTCGAATTGTAATAATTTCAGTTTTAATAATATTTTCACAAAAAAAAAAAGATTTTTAAGCATACTTTATTCCTCTATGTTACATTAAAAAGTTGAAAATTGTAGATGTAAAATAATTATAATTCAGAATAAAAATTTGTAATATAAGTAAAATTAAGTACAAAACATAACATATATACCGTAATCCTTTTTAGATCCTCTTCGCTCGGTTGTTCAAATTCGCATTGAAAAGACACGAGCCTATTTATTAATTCTTCTTGTTCAGGACTAATGGGCTTAACACAAGTGTAAGGATTGATAGGGGTAAGAATGCCGCTACTTCCGGACACGGACAACGATTCGGCTTCCGCTGGTTCGATTTTGACGCCCATTTGTTCGCCCATTCCAGTGCTGCCTGGTGAACCATTCATTGTCGTGCTGTTCGGTTTATCCTTCTCCTGCAGAGCACATTGCATAAAAACAAATATATAAGTTATATGTACACAAAAGTTCTAATAGAAAAGTTCCAAGTAAGTTAAAAAACCGAATATATAAATATCTCCATACAAAGTAATTTAAATTTCCAGAATTGAAGTGTTTATTTCCACAAATTTCCTTAAATCTAGATTTAAAAAAAATAGAAATTGTATACGTTATGTATCACAATGTACATTATAAAGATATTATTTAAATGATAATGCTACAGTACAAATACAAAAAAATGAAAACTTTTGTAATTATTTATATATTTGTTTTGTATATTTATATTATATTTATTTCAAATTACTTTAAACACGTGTGTGCATACGCACGCGCGCGCACATACACACTACTTGTTTTATTAATAAGAGATTGGCTCACCAAAGTTGTCTACAGTTTTTATCGTTGTTGGAATATAATTATACAATGCTTGAATAATTACTAGAGTGCAATGTTATACCATTCTTCTAGAACATCTTCCAATTGCTTAAGAGATAGGTATTGGAAAAGGAAATCTGCTTCTTACTGTTTTTCAAAACTGCTTACGATGATTCAATGATATTTAAATCAGGCGATTGCGCTGATGTCACCAGGAAGGATGTTGGAGTTTTGGAAAATAGAGGGTAATTTTGGAAAGTAGAGTGAGAAGCAAAGAACAATGCCCCTTTAGGGCCAAAATTTGCCTGTAAGGGAACCGTATAAAATCTGTCTATTTTTATGTTTTTGGGTCTGCTGAACTCGAATATGAAACTTAAAATTGCCCAAAATGCAGAGAAATTTGTGAAAATACAGTTTTATGACTAAGAAAGCTTCGTTCAGCAGCAAGTATTTGTAATAATCAAATGGCATTTGTGTACAAAAGAAAAATTTTTTTTACTTCTATTTTATTATCTTTGAGTTTAAAAGATGGGTTGCGCGCGTGTATATGTAATGTGGAGCTCGCATATGAGCATTTTTAATGTTACCGCCAACATTAACTTTACTTAATTGTAAGATACACCGCGTGGAGGTTGCTGAATTTGTATCTCTTCTGTCTTGTGAAATCTAATCCGTCTCATTAGGTCATATGTCAGTATATCAAAAGTAATTAGTAATGTAATCAATTTTCTAATGTAATAGTTTATATTTATTATTATTTATGTTTTATAATAGTATATTATTTTATATTTTACCTTTTTTTATTTTTGTTTATTTTTTTTTGTTTATTTTTTTGGTATTTTGGGCAATTAAAGCTAATACTGGCGGTGACAGTAAAAACGCGCGCGCGTACGCGCTACATATATATATATATATATATATATATATAGCCGTAGATTGTATTGTTTCGAGGCGGACAAATTTTGATAATAAAAAAATTGATCTTGGGTGGAGGCGTCAAGATCAAATAAAGGTCAACTTTATTTTTTTTAAATGGCAACATAATTTTTTAAACACCTACGTTTGTAGTTTTTCTCATTACGAATTCAATATGAGCTATGACCCAAGGTCACCAAAGGTCAAAAGACCAAATGCGAGCTTACGATATTATTGCCTTCAACTGCTTACAATACGGTTAACTGGCT